CCAAAGCTCTCCTGACTAAATAGAAGGTGAATGGAGGTATTATACTCCCAGACTTCAAAGTATGTTACAAAGCCATAATAATCAAAACAGTATGGTACTGGAGCACACACAGACACACAGACCAATGGAATTGAATAGAAAATCCAGAAATAAAGCCACATATCTTTGATAAAGGAGAAAAGAATATGCAATGGGACAAGGACAGTTTGTTCAATAAATGGTTCTGGGAAAACTGGACCACCATATACAAAAGAATGAAACTGGACTACTACCTCACACCATGCACAAACACCAACTCAAAATGGAAAAAGAATTGAACATAAGACCTGAAACCGTACAATACATATAAGAAAATACAGGTAAAACACTACCTGAAATATATCTCAGTAACATCTTTAAAGACTCATCCCCCCAAAGAAAAGAAAGTGAAGGAAAAGATAAACAGCTAGGATTACATCAAACTAAAAAGCTTCTATACAGCAAAAGAGACACTGACCAAAACAAAGCGACAGCCTACTGACTGAAAGAAAATCTTTGCACTCCATATAACTGATAAGGGACTGTTCACAAAGAACTACAAAGAGCTCACATGACTCAACAAAAACAAAGTAAACAATCCTGTCAAAAAATGGGCAGAAGAACTAAAAAGACACTTCTCCAAAGAGAAAACACAAATGACCAACAAGTATATGAAAAAATGTTCAATATCCCTTATAATCAGGGAAATGCAAATCAAAACTGCAATGAGATGTCACCTTACACCAGTGAGAATGGCACATATTAAAAAAAATTAACAATAGGGTCTCCCCTGTGGCGCAACGGGTTGAACGGAATACTGTGAAGCTGTCCGCAGCCTCTGCAGTGCAGGTTCAATCCCAGCCAGCCAGGGAGATACCCACATAGTGCAGCAGACCTCTCTTGTCTCGCCCAATGCTCCCCTCAGCAGTGCTTTTGGTCCATCTGCCTGTTTTGGTCCCCACTCTGTCTCTGGTGAATCCTCTCACCCTCCCGTGCTTCTGGCCTGTACCCCAGCTCTTGTATAAATAAAATAAACCTTAAAAAAAAATTAACAGCAACAAATGTTGGCAAGGATGTGGAGAAAAAGGAACTCTCCTACACTGCTGGTGGAATGCAAACTGGTCCAATCACTATGGAAAGCTGTGCGGAGTTTCCTCAAACTACTAAAATGGAGCTTCCATATGACCCAGCAATTCCACTCCTAGGAATCTACTTAAAGGACACAAAAAAATTAACCCAAAAGGATGCCTGCACCTCTATTACAGCACTATTTACAATTTACAATAGTTAAGCTATGAAAACAACCCAAATGCCCCAAAATAGATGACTGGATCATGAAGATGTGGAATATACACACAATGGAATATTACTCAGTGATCAAAAATGATAAAATGCATGCCATTTGCAACAACATGGATGGAGCTGGAAAGATGACGCTCAGTGAAATAAGCCAGAAGGAAAAAGAAAAATATCAGAAGGTTTCACTTACAAGAGGAATAGGGGAATCAAATAAGGGATCAGGGGACCTCCCTGGTGGTCCACGGGGTTAAGTCTCAGTACTATGAAGCTATCTGCAGCCACTGCATCACGAGTTTGATCCCCAGCCACGGAGCTGACCCACATGGCACAGCAGACCTCTCCTGCATTGCTCAATGCTCCCCTCAGCAGAGTGTTTCAGTCAGTCCACCCATTCTGTTCCCCACTCTGTGTCCGGTGAATTCTCTCACAGCCCTCCGCCCCCCCGCGCCAGCACCTCTGCCCTACACCCCAGCTCTTGTATGCATACATAAATAAATTTTAAATAAGGGATCAGGAAAAAAATAATTATAATAAATAAAAAGAAATTAAAAGGCATCAGAGACATTCTGCAGGGGAGGGAAAGGGAGAGGGATCAAAACAGGGGAGGGAAGAGCACAAGGGACTATGGTGATGGTACATGGGTGAACTGGTGGCGGGAATTTTATGGGGACTACAGATGAGAGGAGAAAGTACACGTTGTACAAAAATAATGATATAAAATATATATAAATTAAATTTTAAAAATAAAATGTTTAAAAATGTATTAGTTATATTTGTATATGAATTGACTGTGACCTTGTATAACTTTTTCTTACCAAATGAAGGAATCATAAACCAGGAACTCAAGCAATTTTGTTACAAAGGGTTACAAGAGATGGGAAATCAGAATGGGAGAATTTCTTTTGAATCATAGAAACACAGGGCAGTGACAGAGTGAAAGGACCATTAGAATCAAGGTATAGTATAATCACAGAGTTTTTCTAGGTTTGAATATGTGGTTGGCTTATGGTTTTTTTCTGCTTCAATTTCACTCATCCATCCACATTCAGAATAATAAACATGTCCTCAGCACATACTCTGCCATACATGGGCCCTTCCTTATTGCTTTGAATATGATTACATCTAATGCTTTTTGCATTAGAGAAAGGCATAAAGAAAATCCACACTGTCATTTTAATCCAATTAAATGGTTCACATCTGACATCTGAGGCTTTTTTATTTATGTATTTATTTATTTATTTTGCACAGAAGAACTGGGTACACGCACGCGCGTGTGTTTATTCACCAGAGTGGGGAGCAGAACAGGTGGATTTACTGAAAAACGTTGCTAAGGGGAGCAGCAGGCAGGACAGGAAAGGTCTCCTACCATTATATGGATTAGCTAAACTTGCTGGGGATCAAACTCAGGTCTTAGCAGTGATAGCACTGAGACTTAACCCCTAAGACACCAGGGAATGGATTAAAGAACTAGACATAAGACCTGAAACCATAAAATATATAGAAGGAAATATAGGCGAAACACTACGTGATTTGCACATCAAAGACATCTTTACAGACACATCACCCAAAGCAGTGATAGTGAAGGCAAAGATAAACAGCTGGGACTACATCAAATTAAAGAGCTTTTGTACAGCAAAAGAGACAATAACAAAAAACAAAGAGAAACCCCACCAACTGGGAGAACATTTTTGCACACAACACTAATGATAAAGGACTGATCACAAAAATCTGCAAAGAGCTGATGAGACTCAACAACAACAAAGAAAAGAATCCAGTCAAAAAATGGGCAGAAGAGCTAAAAAGAAACTTCTCTGAAGAGGAAATGCAAATGGCCAACAGGCATATGAAAAAATGTTCAACATCACTTGTAATCAGGGAAATACAAATCAAAACTACCATGAGATACCATCTTACACCAGTGAGAATGGCACATATTAAAAAAACTAGCAACAACAAATGTTGGCGAGGGTGTGGAGAAAAAGGAACTCTCCTGCACTGTTGGTGGGAGTGCAAACTGGTCCAACCACTATGGAGAGCTGTGTGGAGATTTCTTGACCTACTAAACATAGAGCTTCCATATGATCCAGCAATTCCACTCCTAGGTATTTACCCAAAGGACACAGAAACATCAATTCCAAAGAGCACCTGCACCCCTATGTTTATAGCAGCACTATTTACAATAGCTAAGCTATGGAAACAGCCCAAATGCCCAAAAATAGATGACTGGATTAAGAAGATGTGGTACATATATACCATGGAATATTACTCAGCATTCAAAAAAGATAAACACATGCAATTTGCAGCAACATGGATGGCGCTGGAAGGGATCATGCTCAGCGAAATAAGCCAAAAAGAAAAAGAAAAATACCGGATGGTCTCACTCATAGCAGGAATCTAGAAAACTTAAATAAGGGACCCAGAAAAATGAATAACTATAAGAAAGCGAAAATCAAAATCAACAAAAAACTATGAACCAGAGACACTTTTTGAGGGGTGAGGGGCGGGAGGGGAGGGATTGGGGTCAGAATGGGGGGGTTGCAATTGTATGGGGAATATAAAAATAAAATTTATTATAAAAAAAAAGAATCAAGAAAGCTGATACCATTCGCTGCTACCAAAATAAATAAATAAATAAATAAATAAATAAATAAATAAATAAATAAAATGCAATTAGGGGCCTCCCTGGTGGCGCAGCGGTTGAGCGCTGGGTTGCGAAGCTGCCCGCGGCCTCTGTGGCGCCGGTTCGATCCCCGGCTCCTCCCCTGCCACCAGAGGAGGGTCCCGCATGGCGCGCAGACCTCTCCTGCCGCCCGCTGCTCCCCTCAGCAGTGTACTTCAGTCCTTCTGCCTGCTCTGCTCCCCGCTCTGGCTCTGGTGAATTCTCTCACCCTCCCGCACTTCTGACTGTACCCAGTGCATGTATAAACAAAAACAAAAACAAACAAACAAATAAATAAATAAACATGCCTCTATTTAAAAAAATAAAATAAAATAAAATGCAATTAAAATGCTTGGAACAAATTATATAGGATTCCAAAGCACCTCTACTGGATTAACTACAAAATTCCTCAGTGGCAAATCCTTTTGGTTCTACTAACCTTTAAGCACTGTGAAAAGCACCACAGAACTTACTATGGTGAATGAGAGTGTTTATTTTCCTTTATACAGTAAGTCTTCATTTAAAGTCCATTATAGGGCCTTCCTGGTGGCACAAGGGGTTAAGCACAGCACTGTGAAGCAATCCACAGCCTCTGCAACATAGAGTTCAACCCCCAGCCGACCAGGGAGCTACCCACATGGCACAGCAGACCTCTCCTGTCTTGCCCACTGCTCCCCTCAGCAGTGTATTTCAGTCAGTCTGCCTGTTCTGTTCCCCACTGTTTCTGGTGAATCCTTTCACACACCCCACCTTACACCTCTTGTAAACCCCACCTTGCACCTCTGACCTGTACCCCAGCTCTTATATGCATTAATAAATAAACCTAAAAAAAAAAGTCCATTATAGGTTCTTGTAAACTGAAAATTTATAAAAAATGATGTACAAAGAAACCAATCTGACATAGACTAATTGATATCAAGAGTTAAATTCCAATGACAAATTTATGGTTATAGAAACATCTCCAAATGTCTAAAGACCCCAAAACACTTCTAATATGAAACAAGTATATGTACTCATTCATCATTCATTTTGTAACCTGTTTATTCCAGTTCAGGATTTCAGGAACCCAGAGTCTTTCCCACAGATCAGGGTCAAGACCGGACCCAACTCTGGACATCTTTCCATCACAGGGCATATCTCTCTCTCTCTCTCTCTCTCTCTCTCTTTCTCCCCCACCCCCAGGGGACAACTGAGGCATAATAATGATCTCACATGCACATCTTGGGGATGTAGGACAAACCTGTCTAACCCAGAGAAAACCCAAGAGGAGAAGGTACAAACTCCCAAGACAGTGGTGCTAGTCAGGAGTTGATTTTTTTTTCCTTGTCAACCTCACAGTGAAAGGACTTGCTTAAATCTTACAGTGGTAGTTCTTAACAGGATGCAGTATTGTGAACAAGCCTGTGCTGAGAACCTTGCAGCCAAGGCCAACTGTGGGACAGAGCTCACATTCTGTTGCATTCCACGGGCAGCTTTTCACTCCTGTAAACCGGAAAGGACAGTCTGAATAGGGTTATTTCTGGACAGAGTTCAGTTCTGTAACTATGTCCTCTCCTTCTTTCTCCTCATCTTCTTCCTCCCCTTCACCTCCTCCCTCTCTTCTTCCTTCCCTCCTCTGTTTTATGGGAACTTGTGAGAAAAAAGCCCTCGTAAAGATAAGATTTCTTTCACATTTTGGAATGTCATCCTGATATGGGGCTTTAAAAGCGGCTAGAAGCATAGAAAGGAAAAATAAGAAAAATTTCACATATTTACCTTTATACAATTTACTAAAATATATATAAAAGGCTTTGGGTGAGAGTTTGGCAATTTTTTGAAAGGAAAATATTTGTTCTTTTTGTTTGGAATTGACAACCTATGGTGGTACACCTCATCAACATGGTTCTAACAAGCACAGAGGTTTATGTTAAAATGTTGTTTTAAAAGTTGTTTTATTTCATAAGTATATGCATTTTCAGGTTGATTGATTTATTTTTCAATAGCTAATAAGCCTGCTTTTTACATGCTTTCAGCTTCAGGAATAACCATACTGAAGAAAAAAGTAAATGACTTAATTGCCAATATGAAAATTAATAAATGGGATAACAGCAAGTAATGACAGGTAGGTTTTCTGTTTGCTTTATTAGCAATATTTTCTTCATATTTGTTTCAAGAGCCAAATGCATCGATTTCCAAGGCTTATTGGCTATTAATCAAAGTTTTACCTATCATTGGTTAGATTTAGTCTAAAAAAATCCAGCCCTTACTTAGCCACATAGCTAAGTACACCTTTTTAATAACTGACTCGTGACACTCTCACTATTTTACAGATTTCAGTGGCACAGAGGGTTAAGAATTCTGTCTTGCGGTTGTGCTCTAATCCCTACATGACACACAGCTTATGGCATCCACAGGCTTTACTGTAAGTGAAATTGGGTAATGATAGACAAAATAATGACTTTTATTCTTTAAGTATCATTTTCCCCACCCCACCCTACATATTACTTTTTACAAGGAGGGAATAAGTGTAGTTTATAGAATAAATACTGGTTTAAAAAGCATTCATGTGATCTTTCAGAAAGGAGTAAAATAAGAGAAAATCAACTGTAAAGAATACATACTTGTGCTTAATTGTGAATAAAGATACAGTCACTGAAATGTCTCTAAACCAGGTTACCTAAAGTCGTCTGTTGTAATGTGTGAAGCAGGGAAGATAACCAAATGCCTAACTCCTGGACATGGGCAAAATTACATAGAACCCTCCTGCTTTGCTGCCTTCCCAGAAAATAGTGAGATAAAACTTAGTGAGGCCTAGCTTCAAAGACCTCATACTATATCTAAGGCTAGCATTTGGAACAAAACCCATTTTATCACCATCACTGAGGATTATATATCTGAATTTACTAAGTAATCATGCAGATAGTTTTCTCCCTCTTTATATGTCCAATGGCTAAAGCACAGTTGTTCTCTGTATATTTTGTGTTGTTGCAAATGTCACCAGTTAAGTGTTTAGACAAGTCCTCTTTTCTCTTCCACAGAGTCCTGATTCTAGCACTCCCCTGAACTGCTAAGTGGTAGGTGTCAATAAGACAAGAAACTCATGGATTGAGTCAACTGGAACTTGTTTCTGTTGATAGCCAGTGAATTTCTAACTCTTTGTCATCTTGAGTTTGTTTTAGCTGAATTCATTGTAAGAGCTTTCTTGCAATGGAAGAGGGGAAAAAAGAAAGTTTGGCCTTTAGTTTTAATTATTCTGTAAGAAAATTAGACACCTTTGGAGTTATAGATTCTATTCTGCTTTTTATTATTTCTAGGAATGTAACACATAGTGTACAATCTGTAATCTGAGTTCCATTTTGTAATATCTGAGGGGGAAGTTTCTGAACTGGTTATGTAGAACACATTTTGCTACACAGAATTATGAATTTCAGATTCTTGGGCAGCATATAATGCTAAAACAGGGTCCTTGGTTAAGACTATACTGCAGAAAGGTGATGAAGTACTTAGAATTCCCTCTCCAGACCTCCAAAGTGGCATCAATTAAACTGGTGCCAGTTTAGTTTTCCATTTCAGGAGATCACCATTTTGGACGCCTTGGGTGAAGTTAAGGTAGGTTAGAGTTAGCAAGACAGAGTGTGAAAAGAAGTCAGAAAAGATGAGCTCAGCTTCTCCTTTGCACTTGGAGCTTGAGGTTAACACTCTAAACACACACACAAACCAAGTTGGGAACAGTAAAATTTGATACAGGTTTCAGGGGAACACTGCAACTTCTACCACCATTATTTAACCTTATCATTAAAAGAAAATCAGGGAGACTTCATCGAGCAGCCATCAAGGGCTGTGCTAGGCTCACAGGTTCCTCAGGAATCCCAATAATCCCAGGAGGCGAGCATCATCTTTCATTTCACAAACGGGTCACACGCCTGCTGACAGAATCAAGATTTGAACCCAGGCCTGCCGCGCTCCTGCTGGAGGGTGTGCCCGACTCGTCCACTCAGGATTAGCAGGACCCGGGCGGGGGAAGTAACCTCGGCCGAGGACTCCCACGTTGGCGCGCGCGAGCGGCTGGGCCGGGGCGACTTTGTCACTCAGCCCCGCGCCCCGGCCCGGGCTTTGTTACCAGCCACTGGGTGAGGCCCCCGGCGCGGGGAGGCGGCGCTTCCTCCGCCCGGAGGGTGGGACCCTCGGCCTCGCCGGTCTCGGATCGCCCACGACGTACGTGCCGCCGGGAGAGGGGCGCGGGCGGCGAACGGCGCGCCGGCGGAGAAGGGCGGCGGCCGATGAGGCGGTGGGCGAGGCCGGTGACCCAATAAAGCGGGCCGGGCCGCGGGAGCCCCGCCCGCCCCGGTTCCGGGCCCCGCCGCCGGGTCCCGGGCCGGCGGTAGCTGGCGCGCCCCCGTCCGCAGCGCCCGGCGTGAGTGCGCCTCCGGCCGAGGGTGTGAGCGCGCCGCCGGGCCGGGAGCTGGGGAGGCGGGAGGAGGGAGCGCCGGCGGCCCCGGAGCCGCGCCGCGCCGAGCGGCCCCGCGAGGCGGAGCGAGGCAGGGAACCCGCGGCGCCCGCCCGCTCCCGGCGTCCGGGAGCCGCTCCCCCGCGGCCCAGGCCCGGGCCTCGGCCCGCCCCGCACGCGCGCGCCCCCGCGGGCCCGTCCCTCCTCCTCGCCGCCCCTCGCCGCGCGCGTCCACCGGCTCCCGGCTCGCGCCGCTCCCTGTAGTCCCGGCTCCCCGGGCGCCCGAGGAGGAGGGGGCGACCACAAGATGGCGGGTACGTGGCCCCCAGCGCTCCGGGCGGCGGCGGCGGCGAGGGCGCCTCCCAGCCCGCCGCCGCCCCGAGTCGAGGCCCGGCCGAGGCCGACGCGGAGTCCCGGCTCGGGGAGGCGCCGAGGGGCCGGCGGGCGGGCGGGCGGCGCGGGCGGGGGCGCCGCTCCCGGGTTCCGGGTCCCGGGGGGCGCTGACCAGGCTTTTCTTCTCTCCCCTCGGCGCAGACCTCTCGCTGCTCCAGGAGGACCTGGCGGAGGACGCAGACGGATGTGAGTGCCCGGCCTCGCCGTCGCGGGCGGGCGGGCGGGCGGGCGGCGGGAAGGGAGGCCGGGCGGGCGGCGGCGGGCTGGGCCGGGCCGGCGCGGGGGGCGGCCGGGCGGGGCGAGCCGGCCCGGCCCGCGGGGGTCGCGGTGGGGGGCACAGGGCCCTTCCGCGAGGAAAGCGGGTGCCGGTCGGAAGAGCCGCCGGCTTCCTGCGCGAGCTCGGGCGCGGCCCCTTCGCACCCTTCGGCTCGCCCTCACGTCTCCCGCGGGCCCCGAAACTGCCTGCCGTCTGTTTTGAAAGGAGAAACTGGAGGGGCAGGACTTGGAAGTGGGAATTTTCCGTGGGTCCTTCCTCAGGGAGCGTCTTCCGCGCCCCCCTCCCCCGCCCCGAGGCAGGAAGAGGCTGGAGGAAGGAAGGTGTGTTTTCCTAAGAGTTTGTCTCAGGTTTTTTTTTTTGCTTAGCGACCAGCTGGGGGAGAGCCTGCACCCCCGTCGGTCGGCCCGGTTTAGGTGGCGATCACGTCTCTGTGATACCTCTGTATCCCCTGGTTGCTTTGCGATTTGCTCCAGTAACCTTTTGATTTGTGGATTACGGGAAGGTAAGGTGTGGCCTTGGCCAGAGTTGCTGCGTTTAGAAAGCATATTCCTTTTAAAATGCAGATATTACAAATCGCTCAGACCTCCTTAAATACGTTTAACCTTTTTTTGAGAAATTGAAGTTTCAGAAGTTGATTCTTAAAAAAAAATCTTCAACTTTGTTTCCAGACTGGTGCGGGAAAACGAAGTGATAGTTAGAAATCGTTCATTTCTTAATGTGCTCTTCTAAGCATCACAATATAATTTGGAAATTGTTCTGAATTGAAATGATAACTATGGTAGAATTTGTGATGTGTTTAGGGGAAGAGCCTGCCTGATGTTGAGATTTACTATGCTAATACCCATTTAGGTAACTCACAGATGACTGCAGTTTGAAACGGGTCTTTTAAATACTGTGTTGTTAAATACTGTGTCCTTAGCATTGTCTAATGTAGTTTTTCTTGCTCGAATTCAGCTTAATTTTAATTGTAGTGTCTTTTGCGTGAAGGGGATTTTACTATTTTGGATTATGAAAAGATGATTTTTTTAAAAGTAAATGAACTATATGCAAACTTTGGCTCAGTGTGGGTTTGTTTTTATTTTTTAATAAAAGCTGCCTTAGAGGAAGTAGTATTTCTTAGTGAATGTCAGCTTTTCCATTTCATTTAATGTTTTACTTTCAGCCAAGTATTTGCATACTTTTAAGTTAATACTAGCACTTAAGGCAGCTTTCTTGCAAAGTTACCATTGGAGAGGTGGTTCTGTTATCTCAAGATGGGCTTCTCATTCTTTCATGTATTTAGCCTCAAGACTTTGTAAATAGGGTTTTTTGTTGTTTTATTTTTGAAAATAGAAGATATTCAGCAGGTGTTTGTGAGTTGGCAGAGCGAGAACTTGTGTGTAATCAATATTTTCATTTGGGTGCCATGCACTCTTAAAAGAGGAGATGCAGAGTCACGTTGACCTATAAGAACCACAGCCTAGAAAAGGAAGGCATACCTGCCCAACAATCATTTATTCATGAGAAGTCCAGACTCTTGCTCAGTGGTAAGGATGTGGCTTTGAAAAGACTGGTCACAATCCATGCCCTCTAGTGGTTTAGTTTTAGTATAAGTGATAATAAAGGTATCAAAGGCAATAGGGCAGAGTAAAGAAACAAGACTGGAAAGCCAGACTCTGCTTCCTTCCCCCCTTGGCATTGCCACTGTGGACAGACTCATATAACCCACTTAACCTCTCTAAGTTTTGTCAGTTGTAAATGGTCATATTACCTACTCTATATATAGAGTTGTTTATGATCATACATGGGTTACTGTATCTGAAGCACTTAGAACAATATGAGTAATAGCAATTGTTTTGTGTTTGTGGTGGTTATTTGGAATAAAGAGTAAGGGAAACTTAAAAGAACAGAGAAGGAGGTACCGATGTTAAATGTTACATGTGAATTAATATATTTATCAATGCTGCTAATGCTTGCTGTGAACCTCTTAAAGTTTGTTTCCGCTGCTTTTTAAAATTAGGATAAAATGGTAGACATTTGAATGCACAAGTAATTAATGATATTTACATATTTATAAGTTGAAGACTTTGTTTTTAGAAGATTTATTTATTTTTGCATACAAAAGCTGGGATGTAGGCCAGAGGTGTGGGGTAGGGAGGTGAGAAGATTCACCAGAGACTGAGCGGGGAGCAGAACAGGTGGATCTACTGAAATACAGTGCTGAGGGGAGCAGGGGGTGAGACAAGAGTGGTCTGCTGTGCCATGTGGGTTAGCTGCCTGGCAGGAGATGGAACGCCTGCTGCAGTGGCTGCCTATAGCTTCATAGTGCTGAGACTTAACCCCTTACGCCACCAGGGAGGCCTTAAGTTGAAGACTTTTTTTAGAGTAATTGCTTACTTTTCTAAGCTGCTAAAGTTTTATAGGTGCCACCTTTTTAGACTACTCAGAAACACAGAATCTTTGATAATATAACCAGGGAGAAAGAATGTCGGGGAAATTTGGTAGTGGTGCCTATGTTGAATACAAGATAGTAGGTTCGATGGGTTGGTAAGGGAATGAAAGCTTGTCACATCCTGGAAAAACTGGAGAAGGTAGAGAACCGGAGATGTTAGAGATGGTGAGCATGGAGCTTGAGCTGTCCTTACAACTAGACTGCATGTTATGAAGTGATCTTCTGTCTCAGCCAACACTAGTATGGAGCTGGCTTTGGGAGTAGTTGTACACTGTGTCATTTCTGATCAAGTTCTAGATCTTTTCTAAAAGAAGAGAATAATTGTTATTGAACAGATTAATTGGCAGCTGTAGAAACCAGGAGAGCATCTGGGTGGGATCGACATCTTAAGAGGGGAAAAGGCATTTGCCATACCTCGATAAGAGTCAGGTCTTTTTTAGATTTATTTTGTTTTAAGCCCAAAGTCTCTGTTTAGTCAGTAGAAAAGTGAGTACAGTGGGGAAAAGGGTTGACCAAAGATTGACTTGATAGCTTTGGAGAAAAAGAAACAAGTCTTACTATATGCAAAATGGTATATTGTATGTATGTACATGTCAAAAAGACATAAAGGTTAAGTGAATAAATTCACTCTCCAGGGAGAGTCTTTTGTGGGGACGCTTGGCATTTTAGGGGAACAATGCAATGACAAAATGTGGTTTGTTTTAGTTAGAAATGATGTTTTAATACTGTGTCATGAAACATTCTTTGCTTTCAGAGTGAAAGCAAGCCAGTGGTTCTGTCTCAGTCTGTATCTCAGCAATGATTTCACAGTTGGAATAACTTTCTGTTCCTCAAATAATGGGAAGCAGTGCAAGATTACAGGTAGTCTTGATAGTGTTTCAGAGAAAGATAATTTTAAAATTTCTGTTGTCAGTTTTCCAAAGGTGCAATTTTGATTTACATTTAAGTTGCTTAACTTCTAAAATGGGTAACAAAGAACTTAAGGTACAGTAAGATATGATGAGTTAGTGTTGATACATATATTTTTGTTGACAGGGTTTAGTTAAAATTTAAGTGTTTATGAAATTTATAAATCAAAATGCTATTTAAAAGTGATTATATAACAATGGTTTACAGTAGCTTTCCGAAACAGACTGATTCTTTGCATCAGTCCTGTGATTATATGTAGGCTGTGGTATTCGGGTATTAATAACTGATACTCAAAGACACTAAATTATTTTCTGAGGGAATAAAACTTCTGAGGCCAACCAGAATTTTAAGTTAGGCCTTCTGATTTAAATGGTGTATTTTAAATATTGTCTATTCTTAAATTGCCCGGTTTTCAACATTGTGCAGCCCATGCTCATTCACAGGCAGTTCATTTGAACCCAAGCTTAAAATATTCTTGAGAATTAATCTGTCGTGCTGTATATGGTTTAAGCTAGAGTTTAACCTAGGAAGGGAATTAGATGGAAGCTGAGTATAATATAGTTTGGTCTTTGTTAACTTTTCTTTTAGCTTTAGCCAGCATTATAAAGAGCTTTTGGAGTTAATGGAATATGCCATAAGAATTTCGTA